CGTGAAATCGACAACCATGGAAAGTATGGAGAAATCGATTTGGTGGGAGCTGGAGTTCGTGAAATCGATTTGGTGGAAGCTGGAGTTCGTGAAATTGACAACCATGGAAAGTACGAAGAAATCGATTTGGTGGAAGCGGGAGTTCGTGGAATCGAGTTCGTGAAATCGATTTGGTGTAAGAAATTATGGATAAATCGACAATCATGGAAGATAGAAAAGAAATTTTACCCGAATCTGGAATCAAGTTTGAGCTCGTGGAAGTCGTAGTGTGGAATCGATTTGGAGTTAATGGAAGATGGAGGCCATAATCAAGTTGCAAGATGAAGAAAGATGGGAGGCGATGGAGTTTATAATTAGGTTTTGTACCTGATGTGATTTAATAAAGGTAAAGTTGTAATTTCAAGGTTTAGTCTCATGTTGTTCCACTTTTTTTGGTGGAACAAAAAAACTCAAAAACAGTCCCATGAAAACTCATTTTTGTCCAATGTTGTCCAACCTTATTTTTGTCCAATGTTGTCCAACCTTATTTTTGTCCCATGGCATGCCAAACATGGCACTATTTATTTTTGTCCCGTCTCGTCCCACCCAATCTACGTACCAAACGCATCCTAAATGACAATTTTGAAAGTTGATTTCCCAAAATAAGAATCAAATGAGAGTTAATTTCATTTTAGTGCAATTTTTCTTATTATTTAACAAAAGGTAATTAATTTATTAATCGTAACTTACAATTAAATTTCCATATTTAACCTTTATAATGATGTTGCAAGATACATTTATTTTTATGTTTATTAAGTCAAGGAAATAAATTTGACTACTGAATAGGAAATTAGGAATAGAGATAGAGGGCAATATCCGGTGCATTTTAACTTCAACCATGGCATCATGGGTTTGCACCATGTGGCCCATGACAACTACCCCATGCATTAAAACTCCAACATCCTACTTTTCTCTCCCCAATTCAACATCAACTCACTAAAATATAAGAGTGGACTACAATTACAAATTCCTTTTTGTAATTGTGGGTTTTTTGGATCATCTCTAAACGATTACGAATGATCGTACGTGAACCTCCACGACCTTAACAGTTTTTGTTCCTCGTACTTGACAGTAGATCGTAAACGAAGCGAGCCGAGCCTCAAATTAGAAAATAGATTCGTAGTTTACTCGACATAAAATTACCACCAAAACACATCAAAGTTACTACTAGTGATAATAATAATAGTAATAAGAAGCAAGAAACTTGTGTTCAAATCAAACATTTGCAGGTGGGCTCAAAACACCCCTTTGGACGGCTCTAATAGCTCAAGAAAACCCAAAGGACTCTTCCAACATAAAGAAAAAGGACTCGTAAAATTAAACAAAACCATTGTCGTTCTTCAAGAACACTCATCTAATTACTGCAAAATTCATAGGCATGCGATATTAAGAGGCTGCTGCTGCTCATCCACCCTCAATGTGTTCATCCACGCCACCTCTTCTGGGTTCAACTCCTCGAAATCCCAATCTGGTAATTCACAAGCTTCCTCGTCTTCAAATCCACAAAACTGGAAATCATCAAGATCACCAAATCCGTCCAATGGTGGACCAAAATCGTCCAAGAACATCGAATCCAGCTCCAATTTCATATCTAACCCTTCACCAATTTCCGCGAGAGTCAAAGCTTCTTCCACGACAGAAGACATTACAGTGGACGGAGCTTCGATTTTGGTTTCACCATTGCTGGTTTGAGAAGCTGCGGTGGAATCGTTTATTTTTTTGGAAATGGAGGACGTTTCTGGCTCGAGAACTGATAATGGTGAGTTGTGGGAAATCACGCCAACTGATTCCTCGGAAACTGCAGGTTTTGGAGGTTGAGAAACGGCGGCGGAGGAAATGGTTTTTCCGGTGGTGTTCTTGACGTTGTTGGAACCACCCTTTGAGGCTTCAGCCATGGCTTCAAATTCGAGTTTTTTGATTTCGTAAGCTCTAGAAGCTTCTTCAGCAGTATTGTATGTCCCCAGCCATACCCGTCTCTGCTTAAACGGGTCACGGATTTCCGCAGCCCATTTTCCCCATTTCCGTTGCCGAACACCTCTATATTTCGAAGCGGATGCAGGCCTGGGTTGACCGGAGTTTCTGGTCAAAACCCTCTTCCTCTTCCCGGAACTTTTTTCACCGTTGTTGCTATCTTGACATGAACTCTCGGTCTCCGTTTCTTTAGTCGTTCCTGTCTCCGTCCAGCCACCGGCAGCCACCGGAACGCCACCATGTCCCACCGGAATCGTGATTTCTCGCACAATCCGCTTAGACCCATAGGGTTTTTTGTTGGGTTCATCGTCGTCTGATGAATCAGTCAAATCGGGGTCGTAACAGATGACCCGGATTCTCCTTAATGGTTTGTTTGGATCCATAAACATCGCCCTGCTTCTCGATTTCTTACTGCAAGGACTCTCGTGATTCATCGACGGCGGTTAATCTCAAAACTCCGGCAGCTCTACCAGCCTCAAAACATACCCAAAAAACACAAGTCTTAAAAAGAAAATAAAAAACGGCAAAATTTATCCAAAACTGGCTAGGGTTTATGTGAAAGGCCCTCTCAAGAACAAGAAAAGATCGAATAACCTATTTATGTGAAAACCACCAAAACACTCGACTCCAGAACAAGTCCTGCAAAATACAAAAGACACCCACAGAAGAAAACCAGAAATACGTCAAAGATCTGTTAAAAAAACCCATAAACATACAGACTTAAGAGAAGGGTTTAAGAGAGATTTGTACCTTTTAGGCCTCAAACGCATCGAAACAGTCGGAAAACAAAAACTGAAACTCTGCTGAGCAAAACAGCAGAGATAGGAAGAGATGAACAAAGCGAAAGAAATAGAGAGCTTCAATGGAGCCCCAATCACAGCCAATGAAGTTGCCGACATAAAATCAGGTCTTCTTCCCCTTTGTGTCGGTCTCTATCTCTCCCTCCCTAAAACCCCTCTTTTTTGCAGGCCTAAATAGCAAAAGAGTGAAACTAAGATGAGATAGATGATATATATAGAAGAAACGAAAACCCCATGAAAATGAAAAACTCTCCTAATCGTCTAGTCAGAGAGAGGATCAGGAATCTATGGCCAAGATTTTCCTTGTGAAGAAGGCGACAAGTAGTGAAATTTTACAGAAAGAAGAGTCAAATTTCCAGTACCCACTTGGGTAAAGAAAAGAGAGAGAAAACTGAAGAACGCAAATCTCAATAAAACAAGAAGATTAATTTATATATAAAAATGCTGCAAAAACATCGATAATGGCATAAAGAAATGTGATACCTCTGTGTTTTTTTCTTCCTGGGGTTTCTCTCTCCAAAACCCCACACTGCCTTTTTTTTTTTTTTTTTTTTTTTTTTCCTTTCTTCACTGTTGCTCACACTCTCCTTTTTCCCAAGCGGTCAAATTTCATTAATAAAGGGAGTAGGTATTTATAATCGCCTTTTCAATTTACTTTTTATTACAACCGACTTACATTCTTCTTTATTTAATTTCATGAGAAAAGGTTCAGACAGATAAATGAAAATGACACTGAATATAAATAATAACGACTTGTCATTTTATTCGATATTTATCAATTGTGATGAGTATTTGATGAAGTTTGCATGTTTAGTAAATTTGGGTCAACAAATCTTGTAAAATACTTATATTTGGAGTTTTTGATGATATTGTGTCATGAGACATTTTGAAAGTATAAGGTTATGATTTCGGTTGGAAAATGGTTTTGTCTCGACCAATAAGCGTTTTTAAGTTAATCATGTCTTTGAGATATACGTTTGCATAAATGTTGGCTAAATGTTCTTAATCCTTTTGATGACTTTTATTAAATAGTCACTTATATTATTCAGCTTCTAGCTCGGTTTTGTCTCAAATGTCTTGGGGACATTTGTCCAATTTATGTTGCCCTATGTCAAACATTTGGAGTTATATGCAGTTATGACATAGTTCTTTGCTATATTACACATTTTGTGTGTGTTAGTTTGTTAATTGGCGTCATGTAATATTTGACTGTAGTTTTATGGATCCATAGGCATAGGAGTCAGTTTTGATTGGGAAGTTCATCCCCGTGTTATTGCTTGAAATAAGCATTGGGTCTTAGTATGAAATAAGGTGTAAACTCTTGGAGTCGAGCATCGGCTAATGACCATATACAGACACTAGGTCTTACTAGACGATAAAAGTGTGGACTTTTGAAATCGAGTATCGGCCAATAATCATACAGTGTAATTTATAAGTGAATTAGTTTAACTATAATCTTGGATATCTCAAGATGAGTGCCTTTATGGTTGATGTTGGGAACTCCACAAGCAAGAAACTTGTATTAGTTGAGTTTGTCAAAATAGAAATACTTGGAGGGAGACCTGCAGTCCTCTATCTTGGTCGCCTGCTTTGATAAATTATGATTATTGTGTGATCATTCTATGCTTTCACCGATAATCACATCCGACTACTTCCAGGAATCACATCTGCCAAAACTCTAAGAGTCGAAGGGGTTGATCTTAATGATTGATTATTCTTCAGTGGTGCTTATATAACAATGAATTGTGGCTTAGTTACGTGTTCCGTCATAATTAATGGTAATTGGGTTTCCCCCGTCATTTTCAGATGTTTTTATGTCATTCCAATGGTAAGTGTGAGTAATTGAATATATACCTTGTGTAAGGCTATGTTTTCCGTTATAATGTTTTATAGCGTTATTCTTGGTCGTGTGAGTATTGGGTTTTGGTTGTGTAATTAAGTGTTTTAATTTAACGAGTTTTCATCAAGAAAAATAGTGGGTTTTCGAAAAGATGTTTTTACGATAAGTATATTTCATTTGTGAAATTATAATTTAACTCGACAGTCTTTCAGTTTTACCGTCTTATTATTATGATGAAAATTGTTTGAACTTACTGGTATTAAGCCTATTTTTTTTTCTTTTGTCAGCATGTGCATCAAGTCTGTGGGGAAATGGTATTAGCAACACCATGATGAGATGAGTGCTAGAAAGTTGCACAAGAAGAAATTAGTTCATCGTTGATGTCTTCCACATTTGGAGATAACGACAATTATTGGATTATAGTAACACTTGTCCCTAACTTAGTCTTTATGTAAGGTTGTGTCTATCTTATGATGGTGATGATTTTGGATTTGTTATTCGAGGTAATTGATTAATAGAAAAGGGAATTTCTCATTTTTTTTGTTGTATTAATGAAAATTTTAAATTAGTCGTTTCTTCCCGATTAGAAGGTTTGACAACCAGCTACTCTATTTGCTATTTAATATCAACCATGTTAAATTATTATTTTCTCTCTTACACATTTAATTTTAAACCTCTTATAGTCTAGGTGGAAAAGATTTAAAGTTTTAGACAATTATCTAATTTTGTATATTTCCACCTCATTTATCTTCTTTTCTTGATTTTAGAATACCACCTTGAATAGCGGTTGGAGCAAAAAAAAAATTCTTAAAACTTCAAAATTATCTATTTTAACATAGTTGTTGGAGATGTTTTTCAGTCTCTTTTTGTCCTAATCTAATGTATTGCCAAATGTGGCAGTTATTCGTGTAAGTGAGAATGAAAATTGTGGTGAGAATAATAAGAAAATATCTTCACCTTGTATCAATTTTAATTGAATATCAAAACTAATGAGATACATCAAATCAATTTCTTATTATCAGGAAATATTAAAATAATGATTTCTTTCTCTATTTATACATTTTTTAAAATTTATATATTTACACAATATTTATTCTTTTTTCTTTATTTTAGCATACAAGATGTCGCTGCTAAATTAATCCTTTATTTATATCATTTAACATAGTTATTAAAGATTCTCTTACATCCAAATTTTTTTTTTACGTTAAAGTCATTTCAAAAGAAACGGATGAAAATGTCGCTTCTAAATTATGGGAGGTTTGGAAAAATACAAATTCAAGGTCTAATATGTCATTTTGGGGAAAGGAAAGACTTGATTGGTAGATGGGAAATGAAAGTTTAATTAAACGTGGGAAAATCGAAGACATTTCCCATAATAATTATTTCTAGATTGCCTACCAAAATTATTTAATATTAATAATTTTGAATTTTTGTTAATCAAAATAATTATTATTGTTATTATTGAATAGATTAACGTGTTAAAATTTAAGGGAAAAGTACAATAAAAACCAATGAACTTGTTTGTTTGGAATGATTAAGTCTTTGGACTTTTTTTTATAACAAATAAGTCATTGAACATTACAAAACATGTTAAATAAGTCATTGGACAATTTTTTGGAACAAATAAATCCTTGGACATTCCAAAATGTGTTAAATAACTCCTTGGACAATTTTTGAAACAAATAAGTCATTGAACAAACCAAAACATGTTAAATAACTTCTTGAACTTTTATAAAACATGTTGTATACATTCTTATGACTTGTACAACTAGTTAAAGTGTTAAAATAGTAAAAAAAAATCCGGAAAAACCACAATGAACATTCATATTTTGAACGATGAAGTGGTAAAATAGTGAAAAAAAATCCGGAAATATATTTTGTCAGTGAATTTTTAAACTAAAAAAAATTAAAAAAATTATAAAATATATTATTTTTAATTAAAATAAATTTCAGCAGTAATCTTTTTAAATCTTTTTTTAGTTTAAAAAATCACATACATGATATATATTTTTAATTAAAATAAATTTAATAATTTTTTTTTTGTTTGAAAAATCACTGACAAAATATATTTTAATTTTAATTAAAATAAACTTTATCAACAATCTTTTTTAAATGTAATTATTTTTTGTAAATGTAAGTACTTTTTTGTTATATTTGTTTAATTTTATAGATCTAAATATTTTTTGGAAAAAATATTTAGGGGCTTAATCGTTCAAAATATGAATGTTCATTGAGTTTTTTTCGGATTTTTTTCACTATTTTACCACTTTAACTAGTTGTACAAGTCATAAGAATGTATCCAACATGTTTTATAAAAGTTCAAGAAGTTATTTAACATGTTTTGGATTGTTCAAAGACTTATTTGTTCCAAAAATTGTCCAAGGAGTTATTTAACATATTTTGGAATGTCCAAGAACTTATTTGTTTCAAAAATTGTCCAAGGACTTATTTAACATATTTTGGAATGTCTAAGGACTTATTTAACATGTTTTGAAATGTCCAAGGACTTATTTGTTCCAAAAAAAGTCTAAGGACTTAATCATTCCAAACAAGAAAGTCCATTGGTTTTTATTATACTTTTCCCAAAATTTAAATATAAAGTTTCTACAAACGTTTTTTTGAAGCTATGATAATATTAAAATTATATTTATTTTCAGAAATAATAAAATTTTAATAAATTGTTTTAAAATTACTTTGTTAAAAAATAATTTTAATAAATTGTTTTAAAAAATAATTAAGTTATGAAAAATATTAGAGTTATATTATTATTGATTTACTTTAATTATATTATAAAATGTTAGAATTTTAACTATTTTTTATCATGTCTTTTTTGTCATTTAAAATTTTAAAGTGATTAATTGATGAGATAACTTATCATCTAAGAGACAATTTATCAGTTAGAGGTCGTTTACTAAACACTTACTTGGTAAGTGTTTACCGAATAAATTTATTTACCGAATGAACATGACAAGGGCCAAAAATCTTACCGGGTAAGAACGATGAGAAGGATGGAGAGTCTTACCCGGTAAGTAAAGATTACGACTCTTACCCAGGTAGACGAATACCCAGTAAATTGTTGCATTCAACACGTTTTGATGTACTAAAATCTTACTCATCAAAATAAATTATAGTGTTGACTCCTATAGGTAATCACTTACCTGGTAAGCATTTAGGTAAACAGCCCCTTAATTTGTCAAACTTAATTTAAATCCCCTTTCTTTGCCATTTTAAGGGAAACGGATGCCAAACAAAACTCTCTTCCTCGTTCTCTCTCTATTTCGAATAAAAATCCAGCCATTAATGATATATTTTAGTATATTACAATAACAAGTTTTAGCAAAAAACAAAATCGATCTTGATGTAGGATAAAAAAGATGTACATTACATAAAAAAGATATACATTACAAATTCTATAAAATACAAATCTTTTCTAAAAATTGAAATGAAATCAAACGTGGTGTAGATTAGAAAATGTTTTATAAGTAGAAATTTTGAACCTTT